AGTGAGAGGAGCAGAGAGAGAAAAGAAGAGGGGGAGAGAGAACCAAAGGTTAACACGGTGACATTTGTGTCACTCTGCCTTATCACACAAGTCATTCCACTCCACGTCACACCCTGACTGTCGTCCTGCTGTCGCCTTCGTCCTTCACATTTTCACTTCAACTCTTCTCCTCCTCCTCCTCTTCCTCTCAATGATCTGACCCTCTCACCTTTCTCCTCACCCACTGTCCTCATTACATCTCTCTTCTGTTCCCGCATCCAATTGTACTCTCTCTTTGTCTCTCTCTGTCTCTTTCTCTCTCTCTGTGTCTCTCTCTCTGTCTGTCTCTCTCTCTCTGTCTCCAGCCAATCATTCCTGTCGGTTTCTTCTTCTTTAAAGTAGCTAGCTGTCCATCACACACAGCCTGTGTTTGAGCGAGCGAGCACAGTGATGGGCAGAGAGAGGGAGAGAGGCCACTAACTGGTGGATGTGCCCGGGGCAGGTGCAGGACTGCAGTCCAGGACATTATTACTGGTCAGGTCCCTGTTCTGATGTACCAGAGGAACGTCACTTTAAATCCAACTTGAAGTCTGTGTTTATCTGAGGTAGAAGTGGAAGAAAGTCTCTCCTGATCCTGATACTTGTTTGAGGCGCCCCCCCCCCCCCCAGATATCATCATAGTATATAGTACCACACTATATCACAATGTACCCCTGTATCGTGATGCGTATGGTGTTGTGAGAGTCCTACACAGTCTGAGGAGAAGGTGATCGGATCTCACGTCTAATGTTGTTGGAGTAAAGAGTTGTATTTAAACTCTGTGACCTCTGACCTCCAGCTGTTGTTTTGATTACTGAGAGAATGAAGAAGGACAAGATAATAAAGTGAAGAGACACCTGACAGCACAGACAGAAGAATCTGTGGATAAATGGAAGGTTCACTTTGTAACTGCAGCTACATTACTGTGATTAAGGTGACGCAGTCCACAAGACAGGCCTTTTTATTTATGCTGGACGGCGTCCAAATGACCAGGGCTGTAAGATGTAGTTCAAAGTCAGTTTTTTGAAGGAGCAGGATTTACTTGGCTTTAGAGTGGATTTAAGAAACACACAATCCAAGGATTACAGTTTATGGTTTTAATTTTGTTGGCACACATGGCCTCGTAAATTCCTTATTTATTTCTCTGCTGTTTCAAAAACACTTGGCAACTTGCTTTTAGTTTTACTGCAAATAATTCAGTGTCTGCATTCAAAGACTGAGCAGCGTGGTTAGAAATGTTCCAAAGCAGCAGCAGAATAAAGATCCACAACAACAACGACAACAACAACAACATCCTGATGAACTGCTTCATCTTCTCACTGTTGTGCACAGTCTGACGTCTCCAACACTCACTCACTAAAAACCATCAAACAACAGGTTTGTCTTACAGTTGAGACTAGATGTGATTGGTATGATGCTGACAGTCTGACACACACACACATCTATATATATACACACACACACATTCATATGGCGTGTCCTCAAATAGAAAGTCTGAATGTAAAAATGGCAGAGCCACGACAGTCTTCTTACCTCTGTTACTATGCAACAGTTAGTACCTGTTGAACACAGGACTCATTATTTGTCTAAACCAAAAGGCTCGGCTGGTTTGGAGGAAAATGTCACCAGAAACCAGAACCAGTTGAGTGTGGTGTGATGTTCCATCCAGCCTATCAGCTTCAATCAATACAGCCGTGTGGATGGACACGACCTTCCTCTGACACCCACACTCTCCTGGGACCATTTAGGATGAGACCCAGTGTGTGGGCTGCTCTACTAGTTAACTAGTAGCCAGGCTAATTAGTAGCAGGTGTGAAACAGACACAGGTGGGCGTGAACTGTGATGGTGAAGTCCATGATGTAGGAGAACAGATGTCAAACATGTGTCACAGATGATTTGAGGTGGAGATCAGAGTTTGACCAACACGACCACCGCAGCCACCGCAGTGACCACAACTTCAAACTGTCTTTCATCCACTCCACCGTCAGACCAGAGTCAAACGTCAAAGAGAGGAGCAGGATGGAGGATGGAGGTGAGGAGGGGGGAGGGGGGGAGGGGTGACACAGCCACACAGAGGAAGAGGGAGTTGGGGGAGAGGGGAGAGGGGAGAGAAGCAACAAATGGAAGTGAGCCCGTTTGGATTTTATCAGAGTCCGTCAAACTGGACAGGCCTCTTTATGTCATGGGGGAGTCGCCAGGGACAAAGCCTGGATGGGGGAGGACAGAAAGAGACAGAATGGGAAACAGGTGGAGGGGTAGAGCGAGTAAGAGGTGGATGACGGGGTGAGTGGGTGACAGGCAGGAAGGGAAGAACCCGTCGACGGCGTCAACGCTCTTGTCACTGCAGATACGGGCTGATGTGTCTATAGCACCAAATATGGCAACGACGCGTAGACGTAAGAAAAGAGGACAAGACAAAGAAGATGCTGTGGAGAGGACAACAGGGAGGTAGAGAGGGAAGGACACTCACCCGTTTCAGAGGGCTGTCCACAGGCGAGCACAATCCCTGCTCTGTGATCCCATCCTGGGGAAAAGCGCAGCGAGATCCTGGAGCTCCCTCCACTGAATACCAATGGGGCTGGAGGTATCAGCGCTCGCTCGCTCGCTCTCTCTCTCTCTCTCTCTCTCTCTATCAACACACAGTCAAATACACACACACACACACACAGACAGGCAGTGTGAAGAACACACTCAGTCTGGTTGTAGTTGTTTAGATGGAGAATAAAAAGCTCTGTCCCACAGACCAAGTATGAAATCACAACAGGAGAGACACTGCAGCAGCAATGCCCTGGCAACCTCTCTCTCTCTCTCTCTCTCTCCCTCTCTCTCTCTCTCTCGTGCTCGCTCCCTCTCTCTCATTTTCTCCCTCTCCCAACGCAAGGATCAGAGGATGTGCAAAAGGCAGAGACATTTTTCACACACACACACACACACACACACATACATACACATTCCTGTTTACTCACTGGGATGGATCCAGTCCCAGTCCCAGTCCCAGTCCCAGTCCCAGTCCCAGTCCGCCCGGCTCCTCACGGCGTTTCTTTTCCTCTCCCTCCCCGTGGGCTCCTCTCTGAGAACAGCAGCATCTGATGCAGAGATAAAAGAGACATGAAGGCACCGCTCGTCCACACCCCCTCGCCCCCGACCCTCTCCTCAGACGCTCTAAACCCCCGGTTTCCCTGTATCCATTTGTGGACTCCGGTCCAAACCAAACACCTGCTGGTGGACTGTGACTCCACGACACGCGACAAACGGCGTCCACTGACTCCCCCTCCCCTCTGTGTCTCTGCCCAGCTCAATACTATGGACCTACCTCCTCCAATCTAATCACATCTCTCTCTCTCTCACAGAGTCTAAGTCTCTCTCTCTCGCACTGCATGCTGGGAGTGGTGGTGGTGTGTGTGTGTGTGTGTGTGTGTGGTGTCAGAGGGTGTGGAACAGAGTTGTTGAATGAATTTAAAAGTAGATTTTTCATCATTTTCTTCCAATTTGTCTTGGTCTGTAACATGAAGCAGGTCGTTTCATTACTTTTGGTAAAAACTAATTAATAGCAGTT